GTGTGTATGTATAAACTAAACAGAACTGAAAGTAAGGAAGGAGGAACATTGTAAGCATTGGTGGACTTTTTCTCATTAAGTCCCAGATTTTACTTAGAGGCCTGTAGGCGTGACAAAAGTACAGTTCTGGCAGTGGACAGAGAGCAGATGGACAGCACAGGAGCGTGTATGGACAGTTTGGGTACTGCAGGACACTTTGTGTGTGTGTGTGTGTTGTGTCCAGACTGTATGGGGATGCAGACAACGGCCTGCACGTACGGCACAATCATTCTCTCACTCTTTCATTCTGCATTGTTGGCAGGAGTGTAGATGCTATTATCACTTCAAACAGAATGGATCATGGTCATAAGAGGGCTAATGGCAGAGAAGCGCTGGGAGGAAAGTGTGTAATAACATCACAGTCAATGGCTATTGACAGAAAGGGGTGTGTGCGCGCGAGACAACGACCTTGAACACCAGCTGAGCGTGTGTGCGCGCGGGCGAAAGTCATTTTGTGGAGGTGTGCTCCCCGTGTGTTGATTTAACCCTGAAACATGTGTCTGGATGGGCTGAGGATGCTGTGATGTCTCAGCACTAATGTCACTGAGATAAACTCCTGAGCATCAGACATGTGACCGTTTTGGAGCCTGTTCAACAGTGAGAGGAGTCTACAGACTTTCGTCGAAAATGTACTTTTTTGTGAGATATGGAGTAAAAATAAAGTGTTGGTCTGTGCGCTTCGGTCACCTTGAACTCCAGCTCCATGGCGGTGACGGTCTCACCGGGCGGGGGCTGGGTGAGTTTCTGGATGTGGGCGTACAGGTTGCGCGCCGGCACCTCCGTGTTGCCGCAGGTGGCCGCCTCCAGAAGCGCCTCGTGGATGAAGATGTACTGGTCCTCGGTCTGGACCATGTAGTTTCTCTGGGAGCGCATGCACGTCACATGGCCATAAATGTCCACGGTCTTCTCGTGCTTCATGCGTTCCAGCATGGCATCGATCACAATGAAGCAGCCAGTCCTGCCCACGCCCGCACTGACACAGAGAGAGACAGAGGAGACTAAATAACTCTGTTTTATTGTGTCTACATCACTACAATGTGGTCAAAGAGCTGTTGAAATCAATACCTGAAATGCATCCTCATGCACAGATAATACTGCCAGATAAAGTCCTACAAACATAATGTGTTTTTTTTCTTTTATGTTCAACAACTCATATTAAAATGTACTGAAAGGTTAGTGTTTGTAAATGTAACATTTCAAATTGGCCTCTCCACTACTTCTCTGCTGAGTAGCATTGCATTGAACTCATAATTGAATTTAAGAGCAGATAAAGCTAAAATAACTTTTGTGTTTCATGTGCAACCTTTTTTAAGGGAAACCTTTGTGTTGTTTTTGATATTTCCAAGTTGGGAATTGAACATTTTGACAACCCTGTGGCCATTAAACGCATGTGAGAGTCCAGTAGGGTCTGCATATTGTAAATGTTTCTGTGAACAATCATGCAGCAGGTAGTTTGTTCAGATTCCACAGATTCATGTAGTGTATTCTGAATTTAAGATTCTACTTAGGTAAAACGCTTCACCACATTTCATGATTAGCATCCAAGTACTCTTCCCTCACGCACCCACCTGCAGTGGACCACCATGGGCCCCGCGTCTGGAGGATTGCAGGCCTTTACCCTTCTAAGGAAGGCCAGGATGGGCGTGGGGTACTCAGGAACCCCGTGGTCGGGCCAGGCCATGAACTGGAACTGTCTCACCTCCCGCTTCTCGCTGGAGCCGTTCTGCAGGAGAATCAGACGAGTCAGCCGAGCAGGAAGGTGTTCCGTCGGCTTTAGTACGACACGGCGAGTTGTGAAACACAATTTTTCATGCTAGGCGACATTTCCTTTACAAAGAAAAGGGTCGTATTGTTTTAATGAAAAGGAGATGAAGTTAGAATCTGAAAAGCACAAGCTGTGCCCATCTTTGCTCTTTTTTTTGTTGTCATTGTCAGGCACCACAACACTACATAAAATTTGTGTTTCTCTCTGGTATTTTGGGCTTTTTCTTTCTTTCTGAAGCTTCCTGAAACTGTTTCTTGTTTCATTGTGATGTGCAATTACTGGCCCAACAATCTACCAAGTGCTGCTTTCTTTCTCCACAAAAGGTGCCTCGTAGTGACACTGAAATATCTTTGTATAAATAATACAGAAACTTTATTGATAAAACACAGACTCTACTTTTAGGGCTGTTTATCTGGCAGATTTAGGTCCAGATCACATTTAGCTCTGGAATTGTTTTCTGAGAGGTTCTATGAAAAAAAAATCTTTCCGCCATTCTCGATTGAAACTAAGGAATATCTCCAGCCAAGGACTGGCACTTAATTAGAAATGAGAATATGCCCGAAATACAAGGGGGAGGGTAATGGAAAGAAGAAATGGAAGTGTCCTGATGCATCTCAGTAATCCAGGTAAAACATTAAAAAGAAAAAAATTGTATAGGCCTTCTGGACGGGTTCTTCTCTAATGAAACGTTTCGTCTCTCCTCCAAGAGTCTTCTTCAGTCTGAGAGTTTCAGGCAAAATTCAGGCTTTTYAGRCCTGCCTCCATGTGACTGATACTCACATCACATGGRTATCGTTGACACCTAATTAACACTTATTGTTAACAGGGGGTGGAGTGATACTGGCAATAGCCGCGCTGTAGGAGGGGGACAACTGAAAACGGAGACCTCCACCTCTGTTTAATGATGGACGGTCTTTCTTCACAAAAATGGCTTCTTTTACTCCTCTCTCAAACCAACGTTCCTCTCTATCAAGAATGAGAACATCCTCATCTCTGAAAGAGTGACCGCTGGCTTGTAAATGAGTGAAAACTGCAGAGTTCTGGCCATTAGATGTAGCTCGTCTAAAAGAAGCCATTTTTGTGAAGAAAGACCGTCCATCATTAAACAGAGGTGGAGGCCTCCGTTTTCAGTTGTCCCCCTCCAACAGCGCGGCTATTGCCAGTATCACTCCACCCCCTGTTAACAATAAGTGTTAATTAGGTGTCAACGATAGCCATGTGATATGAGTATCAGTCACATGGAGGCAGGGCTTAAAAGCCTGAATTTTGCCTGAAACTCTCAGACTGAAGAAGTCTCTTGGAGGAGAGACGAAACGTTTCATTAGAGAAGAACCCGTCCAGAAGACCTATACAATTTTTTTTCTTTTTGAAGAAATGGAAGAAACAAAAAAAAGAAGAAGAAAAAAMGAAAAACTATTACTGCAGTTATGTGAGATGATGGCAAAATTAAATCTTTTATAGCCTCATAGAAAGAAGGTAAATAAAACAATTACATCAATGAAAAAGGAGATTACAGCAGCTTTGTCATTTGTCTTTTTAAAATGGGATTTTTTGCAGATGATAAGAACATGCCATTTACGAGTCTGCCTTTTCAACTTAAAAAAACAAAAACAAAGAAAAAAAAAACACATTACCTTATAGAGAGCGAACGTACGGACGCTGTAAGTGGCCAACTCCACAGTGTCCAACATGGTGACCTGGATCATCCCGTAGGTCTCCGTTCCCCGTGACGGCCAGTACTGGTCGCACTTCACCTGTCAGAGCAGAGGAGAGGGCGCACTGTCAGGGCCGAACTGCTGCTAACATCCCATACAAGACTAGTGAGAGGCTTGTAGGATCACACTGATTAACAAGGAGGGAACATTAAAGAGGTCACATCAAAGGCTTTCTCTGCTGTCTAATTAAAAACCGAGGACCGCGAGTCAGCTCCTGTATCACAGGAAGAAAAAAAAAGCATGCCGGTGAGGGAATCAGGCGTTCGCATGTGCAACCATGCACATCTTCATTTGAAGCAGCCTTCAAATGAAGCGGGCTTTAAACGAGCCTTAAAAAGTCTGTGATCCTTTTTTAATTAGCTAATTGTCCAGTGGTTTGCGTCCCGTTGTCGTGTACGCTCTTTGTGCGTTTGTGATGGCCGGCCGCTGCTTTGTGGAGGGAGATGCGTCTAAATGCCTGAACTGGCCCGCAGTGACGGGACAGCAGGTTGGACCACCTGGCTCCATATGTGCACAGAGAAAACTACCCTGTGAACGGAATTAAAGTGGCTGTGATTTACCATGTGCATCCTTAAAAGTGAGGGTCCTTTGTTATTTTGTTTGACTTCATTAAAACAAAACAGATAAGAGTTTTCTGTTCTGGGCTTTGCTTGGAAATCTACAGAAATATTTGTCAGTAGCCCTTAAAGCTCGTTAAAAAAATGAGTCTTGTGAAAAGTAATTTAGTTAAACACAATCATCCATTGCATATCTGCATAATATGTGATTGAGTAAACACAAAAATGTGAAAAGCAACGATTTGTTTATTTTTCAAAGACGTGTTAAAGCGATGCGGGAAGATTTGTCTGTACCCTTGAAGAAACAATTAATTGTTGCATCATAGTCATGTTTAAAACTAAGTGTTTGATCTTAATTCCTATCACAGGGTCCTTTAATCTTTACATTAGCCCTTCTGCCTTTTTAAAGGAAACAAGCAGGCCACTGGGTAGTTTGGTCTCACTGCGCCACAGTGAACATGGAGCAGAGAAAGCAGAGGGGAGATTTGTTTGAGGAGCTCAGAAAGTGAATTATATATATCCATATTAAAGGTGAAGGCTACAAGACCATATCCAAGCAGGTTCAATGTTTCACCCACTGCAGCTGACGATACGATTCAGAAAAATAAGGTTTATGGGACTGTAGCTAACCCCTCAGGAAATGCAACCCCAGATTGATCAGACATATAGATAGGAAAAAGCAACGAAAACATCCAAAAGCTTTCAAGCTGAACTCCAATCTAAAGCACTTTCTGACTGCACCATCCCGTACAGTTTGAATCATAGTGGGCTTCATGGAAGAAGATCCACAAGAGCCCCAATATTAGATAGAAATTTCTTAAAATGCATGTTGATAGGCTGTAAAATTTCTGGGACTGATGAGACAAAACTAGAGCAGTCGTCATCAGTTGTGGTCATTTTTTATCTGTCTGTATAAAGCCCTCCCCCAGTAGATTAGTAGATAAACGGCTTGTGTTTTAGTTTTCAAAAGCAACGATAAGGCATCTTAAAAATCAACAGTCCATGCAATTACACTATCAATTTTCACTTGCTGAACTTAAATATATAATTTTCCCCCAAAAAACACTATTTAAAAACAGTCCACAAAGTGTCAGAGTTCATAGAGGCTAGGATGAGTCACATCATTATTTGAGCACATGGCAAACTAAAGCCGACTCATTGGTCTTGCCTCTAAGCTCAGCTTTTTCTCTGTGGACGTCTTCAGCACTAAAAATCTTGTTATGAAATTGTTCATTTTCATCCTGTCGGCCAAGAAACTGAACCAATTTTCAGTCGGTTAAAAGTCCTCTAGTCCTGACTAGTAAGATGTGTGAAAAAAAACTATTAAAAATGTGTTGCAGATTTATTATTAAACACATACTAAATACAGGGAAAAAAGGAGGAACTCTTCATTGCCACACATGCAGAGACTAGAACCTCCTGCCATTGATTTGGATAAGGCGTCAGTTTGAGACGTGTCGCGGCTCAGCTAATCGTATTGATACGACTGTGCTGAGGTGACATTTGGAGGCACTTTGGCTGTCTCAGAGCTGGTACAAATTGACAAACAAAACGTGCTAAAATTCTTCCCCGCACATTTCACCTGCCCCCAGAGACAACTTCCATTCAGAGACAACGGCAAAAAGCTCAACTGAGTGATACGGAAACACTTGCAGCACAAACATATGGATTAGCAGTCACCTCAGTAATGAATATCTCTGTTCTGCCTGAGGTTCGGTGACATAGTCTTCTCTCACGCTGAAGCGCACTTTCACTATCGTCTTCCTCTGCTTTGAACTCTTCTTCTTACATGTCGTCACCTGGCCTTTAGCAGCAGGTGTCTCATCGCAACACGCGCACACAAACACACATGTGAGCGGTACATCTGGTCTCATTTAAAGCCGTGACCTTTTAGAGTTTGACTCTCTTTTAATGACTGAGCACGGGGAAGAAGAAATTAAGCCTGCTGGAGGAGCTCATTTTATTTGTTCAGCTCCTGAACTATCTGGCGTAAGACAAAAGTCAAGTTAGTTGGTTAAAGATGGGCGATATGTTATCGTGTGCGATATACCGTCAAAGACATTCACCATGGTAATAATTTGTCATCTCGTGATAAAAACAATAAAATCCCACGGCTTTACATGCCTTCCCGCCAGGTTAAGCTTCATTTGTTTACTCAGAGCGGACGTCGATCAGAGCATGTGCTAAATTAGTAAAGCTAAAAAGCTATCGTAATGACTCTCAACGTGCAAAAATGCAGTCGTAGTCATCTAAAAACTCTTAAGAGTTCAACATTATGTTAGGAAAACAACAGGACGGGGCAGCTTCAACTTGCTGGACCCACAAAACAACACAGCTCCTCCGTCTCCTCTGTGCAAGCTGCAAGCTGCGCAGCTCACACAAAGTAGCCCCTCCCTCCCCTGAACATTAACCCTTTAGGGAACAGATAGAGCTTTACCTCCCAGAGCAGCAAAACTCATTATTTTCAGTGATTAGTAAAAAGTATTTTCTTATAGTTAAATTTTTTTTATTACTGATATTTTAGAAGGGTTAGAGTTCTACTGAGGTTTTACAAATATAATGATCAGTACAAAAAGGATGTGATTTGAAGATTTATTATACAAACAATAGTCCAGGGCTATTCAACTGGCGGCCCACGGGCCACATCCGGCCCGCGAGTGACCAAAGTTTGGCCCGCCAATTGGTTTATTCATCTCTTAAGCACAAACCCCCGGTTTTCTACTTTAATTATTCTAAGTTCTTTTAGTTAAACATGGACATGTTTGGTATCTACAGAAACGTCAGAATCGTGGCTAGAAGCTGGTAAAAACCACTTCTATAAACACTCAAGACAGTTAAAACTACAAGCAGTTGAAGATAAAACGATGAAAGTGAAAATAAAATTGGTTTAAAAAATTGGCAAGTCAGAGATGTCAAAATTTTATTTGTGTCTAATGAGGCGTACCGTGTTCTTTTTGTTTTTGATAATGTGTAATTATCACTACTTTTATAGGGTTCTGTATGTTGTAATTATTATTAAATGCAGAAAAATAAACTATTTCAAAGGTAACAGACTTTTATTATACTTGGTTTATTTACATAATAACTTTAATTGCTGGATGTTCGGCCCCTCAGCTGTTGACCGGCAGTAACTGTGGCCCCCGGAGAAATTTAGTCGAATAGTCCTGCAATAGTCCATTATTACTGATAATTTTGGCTGTCAATAAATCATTAAATAAATAAATAAATAAATAAATAAATAAATAAATAAATAAATAAATAAATGTCAATTTTGTTCTCATATTTCAGTCTTGTTTGATGGGTGTCAGTTTTGCAACACAGGTGTACTACTTGAACTTTTACAAATACTATTAATTTTACATGTATTTACTAAGACTGTTTTTATTATTTAAGCTTGCACTATTTTATTTTGTTTTGTTAATCAATTTATTGGTTTTTATTGTGTTTATTGTTTTATTGTGATTTTTATTATTGGCTTTTGTAAGGTGATCTTGTGAGTTTTGAAAAGCATCTATAAATAAAAAGCTTTATTATTATTATTATTATTATTATTATTCTATAAACATTATGCTTCTAGTATTTTAGGGCTCTTAAGAGAGAACGTAGTAATATATTTATAATACAAAAGATTAGGCTGATCGTTATCATGATAAAAAACCTAAAAATTATCGTGATAAATTTTTTAAGTCCATATCACCCATCCCTAGTTGACTCCTTTATTCACACAGTCTTATTATTTGAAATGAAGGTTATTTAAAAAAGTTTTTATTAATTGTGATTATCTTTGTGGAGAAAGTGGAAATAGACGTGACTTGTTTTTGTTTATAACACTTTTGTCATCATTAAGACATGTACTGGTGTAAAGGTGGCACAGGGTGCAAACCACGTTCTATTAAATCTTTGAAAAGTTTGTCTGAATGGGGATTTAGGGGATTAACATTAAAGTGAGTTACGTCAGCAAGGAAGGGCACCATTTATCTTCTAAAATTATAGCAAACATATCTATTATCTGCTGCCAAAACATTTCCACTCTTTTCATTTCATTTTACAGAAATAATGTTTTCCATGCAGATGCAGTTTAATCAGTCTAATTCACTGTCGGCACACACTGTAATGTAAAACAGACTCAAAACAACATTTAACTGTAATTTCACTAAACATTGTCATTTTCTATTTAGGGCTGTAATTCATGTACACACAGTATAAAGAGTATTACAACATAAATATTGTTTTAACGTGCGAAACAATATGGCGTATTAAAGATGTTAACATCTGGCAAAGACTGGAATTAGACATCATGTTGGAGTTTATAAATAACACTGCTTAATCTACCTTTGGAATGATCCCATGCTTGGAATTACAATGGGTTTGTTTTAAATAGAAATATAGCATTTTTTTTGTCTCCTTCAAGCTAGTTGATTTTAAAATGTATGTATGGAGGTGATTCAGGCTCAGAGGTTGTCATTTCCCCCGATTGTTTCTGTCATTTAAATAATTTCTGTGTATGTATGTGCAGCTGCGTCTCTGGGATCAGAGATGCTTCTCTGCCACATAAAGCTAAATAAAAAAAAACAAAACAAAACAAAAACCTGCCACTCAGGCAAACTGAATATATATAGAAAGTAGCTTGTGAGAACAGCTGTGTAACTGCAGTGGAGCGAATTTTGTAATAAAAGTCGTCTAATCAAATACATCCACGCTGAAGATATTCTCAGAGGCACAAATAAATGAGCTCTGTTCCAAAAAGGAGAAGCGTGGCCGTAATTTGTCTAAATGATTGATTGCGCTGATGGCTTTGAATTAAAACAGATGATGCTTTTTGAGAGATAGATTTTTTCTTTGACAAAACAATTGCTTTTTTTAAGCTAAAGTCTTAGAAGAACAGAGAAAATGATCAATGTCACAAATTTTGAAATGAGCCTTTTTTTTCGGTTACTTTTACCGCTACTTGCAATTTTTAGTACCAGGACTCTTTCATTAGTATGCGTACACAAATAAAGCACAGAGGCAAGGCTTCATGCTGACTTCTCTCTCTGAGGAATTTGTGAGCATTATTTTCCGATGGTAATTACATAAACCCATTTCTAATTTAAAATCTCAAGTTCCAATGTCTATTTTTTAAACTTTTATTAGACTGGATGTATTTAGGGAGCAAACAAATTTAGTTAGATGACAATCCTCTTATCTCCAAATTTAGGAACTTCATTTTAAGTGATGTGGCTTTAGTGGGCCAAATTCAGAGAGCACAACATAAATGAGAGTGACTGTGAAACCTCAGTACGGTGTTACAAAAATAAATACGCAGCAATTGAGCGCTGAACTCTTGGAGCACTTTCCAAATAATGACAGAGTTAGGAGTTATAATGAAAAATCTAAAAATACCTGCAGGGCTCTTGTGCATATAGCTGTTTGGCTGAAAATGTTCCTTTTAACAGCGGGAATGCAAGCCAAGTTGCAACCCCTACTTCCTTGATAAGTGGCAAACAAACAACAGGAGAGAAAATTGGAAATGGTACGAAGCTGTTGTTCGGTGATACCTCTCAAACACAGTCAGACAGAAGTTTAGGCAGAACTTTTTGGAGATTGCTGAAAATTCAGGAGGAGCGACATGAAACGATATTGTCCACAGACAACCAAAGTATCCTTTGAAGTTCTTGTGACTTTAATAAGGCTGAAAAATCCTGCTTCAAAGTTAGTCCAGGTGTCTCAAGGCTTTGTTGGGTTTTAGAGGTTCTAAGCGTTTGAGCTACAAAAGTAACAATACAAGTCAAAAAACACAGTATCTAACCATCTTTTAGCTTCTAAATGTCAATTGTTTGATGAACATCAGCAAAAATGTCTTCTTCGTGTTCCTCTTAAGTTAAATCACAACCTCATCAAGTACATTTTATTTTGTTTTTGCAATAATTCACATTTTCTTGTTAAATAAATGTACTTCCTGTTATATTTTGAAGCTTTCTTTTGATGCATTGTGGTAAGTTTACATTAAATTCTATTTGTCAAACCACCATCTTAATTTCTTGACTGGCACAATTATATAAATTTAACATTTGTAATCAAGCCCGAGATTTTTTTTCTTCATTAGTTTATTATTCTTTGTATCTGTGTTTAAAACTTGACATGTCATGCTTTATTTCCTGCCCAAATCACTTCTTTATTTAGATCACTGAGCTTCCTGCCATAATATCACCTTTAGTAATCAAATCAAGTGTAATTTATTTTAAAGCCATCCTGCCTCAACACACAATCACTTTTACCAGACAACATCAATTCACACATTTAGTCTGGCATTTACGTTACACTGTAACTGTTTTTCCAGTGATATGATATTAATTGTGAATGCAATAAATGAATTTAAACAAGCTGCTAAACAATGAAAGAAATAGTTACCGTATTTATTCATGTATAATACGATCTCATGTATAATATGACCCCCCCCAAATTTAATTCTCATACTACCTCTAATTTCATATGGACTTCAGGATTTTTCAGCCTTTGCAGTCTTTATACATATCAGTAAAATTATCATTTGACGGTTGTATCAGTTTTTAATTTTATTTTAATAACATATGTACTAAAAGGTACACAATAACAAATGTATAACTACAACAAAAGCTATCAGTGCTCATTTGTTAACTGGTGTGATATAACAAACAGATAAAGCTATGTGGCTCTAAGTGTGGATGAAGCTGAATCAAAGCCTTCAAAATCAGGCTCACCTTCATCAGTGTCATTAAAAGTTTCTGGTACTCCTCCTCTGTTATAAAAGCATCAGAATCCCACTCAACAACAATCTCATGCTCTGTGTCTCGCGAGCGCCCCCTCTGGTGGGGAAACTTTTCTCGGGTAGACCAACTTTTACAGAACACCGGTAGACGGCAGCCATTACAGACGACCATGTGTTTGTTTTTGTGTCAGGAGCGGCCCGGTCGCACATTAATATCATTAGTTCGTTATGCAGAACTGCCTGTTTTCTTTTTTTTTTTTCACATTGTGTTGCCTGCTTGGATCTGTTACTATCGCGCTCAGAGGCACAAAGGAGTGTTAGAGGTAAGATCGCGTCAACCGTTTTTTACGACGGGGTTTCATTTCCGGACTCAGGGATTTTGTAAATGAGGCCGATATTTCAGTTAAAATACATCATCATCATATTTATCCAAGTATAGTACTACCCCCCAACTTTGTGCATGATTTTATGGATTAAATTTTACGTACTATACTCGAATAAATACTGTAATTATGTTATCAACTTTATGTAGACTGTGCCATTTCTTACTCGTGACTTCTCTTCCAGTCTGGTCATCATGACAATGGTGTTGGACCTCTGCTCCCACACCATCCTCCAGAAGTCAGTCAGGGTCTCGGGCAGAGGTCCCTGAGTAGCGATGTAGGCATTTTGCTTCCTGTAGCCATCAATGTAGTTGGCATTGATGTAGTCACTGCCTGGAACGGCTGTAGCAAGGAGGAAAAAGTGGAGCCACAACTCATTACAAAGTACACTTCCTGGCCCTCACAACAACAAATTAAGGTCATTTTAATCAGACTAATCAAGATGAATAATACACTTTTTGACATCTGTCCCTCTGAGCACATCAGCACATTCTGTAAAAAGCCAACCGGTCTCAGCCAATTAGCTATAATACACAGCTCCCTTCAAATTACATGTCATAACTCACCATCTAAATGAACAGGATGCACTAGGTTTGTGGATAAAGTAGTAGAAGAATACAGAATGTCTCTGGAGAGTGAGGCCTAAATCAACAGCAGTGTCGGTCAATAGCAATCTACGGGGTTAAGTGGTTCCATGAGCTCTTACCATCAACAGAGGTGAGGACCACTCTGGAGTGGTCATAGGCGATGACGTTTGCATAGCGATTCTTTGGCTTGTTGACTTCCATGTTGGAGTTTTCCCAGGTAAACTGCTGACCGGGATCAATAGACTGAGAGAGGATAAGTTCGAGATAGAAGGCAGAGAAAAAAAAAGACAAAAGACAAGAATAAAGGAGATATTTGAGTTATATGTGGATAAATAAGTAAGGTGTTTTATAAGCAGCACGTTTTTCAGTGAAATAAATTGTTTTATCCAGATTCATGGTGTAGCTGGCATTCTGTAGACTTAACCATGAATCTTTTTTGTATTTTTCCCCCACTTCTATTTCTGTAACCTTCTCCTTTCTAGTATTCTTGTTTCACCTCCTCACTCTCAGCCCCTCTGTTTCTAGCAATTTTCCCCTTGCGTCATTTGACTCTTGGCAAAAGGCGACAGTAGACTGCATACATATTGATCCTGGGAGATATGTGATGGTCTCCTTTCCCTTGTTGGATAATGTCACAATGTCTCTTGCTATTCCATATCGATCGCCCTTTTCTCACACCAGAGGCTTGTTCAGTAATTCCACAGGCTTTTCACACCACAAATCCAGCAGCTGTAAGAACGACACCTTTGAGATTTATAAACTTACTTAACGTTGCTGTCGCACGAGTGAAAAATGTAAAGTTAAGCTGAAACGCACCCGGAGAGACAACGTGAAGTCAAAGCAAGGCTGAGCAGTCCAGTCAACTTTTGCGCTCTCATGATGAGGTGAGTTATTTC